TAAAAGGAAGGTTTTCTCTCCACATTTCTGAATCACTTTATAAAAACAATTGACTGTTTTGTTATTTACTTTTTTAAAGCAGTAGGCCATATCATCGCTTCATCACAGATTCCCTAGTTTTTAGAAAGATGAGTGTAAAAACCAAAGGCGTTAGTTCAATGAACCATGACTGCATTGACTTTGACTTCCTCTCCTTGTAACACCTGCGCTGCTTTGATGACTGACTCCCCTGCTGCTAATTCTGTCACGCTTTCCCTCAGCACATTTAACCCTGGTTTTCAGTTTTTCCTTCGTCACATCACTTCCATCTCATTGATCCATGCTTCAGGTTTGTTGCTTCCTGTTTTTGTTATTTCCCTTTCTCAATCTTCTGTATCTTTTGGGAAGGATAAAAACTCCACCACCTCTTGCCATCTTGCATTTCCTCACTGTCTGCATTTAGGCTCTCCACTAACCCAGTTCAATGACGACAACGTCTGTGACAAATCACAGTCAAAACAATGTAACAGGGCCATCACTAAGATGAGGAAGTTGTGGCGTACGGGTGCTTTTGCTTTCTCAGGAGCCACTTTGATCTTAGTCAGAGCTGAAAGGAGCAAAAGCCAATGCCTACATCATAATTCTATTTCCCCTGTGTATTCAACTTATTCAAAAGACCCAAATTAAGCTTTCTCTAGCAACTCAGTGAATCGACATTTGAAGGTGAACAAGAGAAATGTAGTTCTATAATTAAATTTAAAAAGATAGACAATAGAGGAGGCAGAACAGTCAGACTGAAAGGCACAGGCAGACAAAAGTCTTCATTGGTTTTCAGTGGGGATAAGCAGAGTCAGACATACAAAAAGGTTACAGAATTTGATTTGTGATATTCTACCCTAAATGCTCTTTTACTGTCTGGAGGAGCTGTTTGGCTACTGCTGTCCACAAAGTTTGATTGATTGCTGAATTACGCCAACTGAATGCGAATGGAGCTAACTCTGCTGTCTGCCTAATGATAAAAAGCAAACGTGCCTAGCCCCTAATAACAATGAGAGATGCAAGCGCTGAACAGCCAATCAGAAAACAGATGTTATGGTGTTCCCATAAAAAGGGACATTTCAGTCAGCCTCTTTCTCTCTCCGCCTGCCGTCATAACTCTTGACTCGTGTGTGTGCCTCCAAGTGTGTAGAGAATTTTTTAATGCAGAACCAACCATTACTCCTTTAACCCTCCTCTGAGTCTGTCATTTTATCTCTCTCTTTTACTTCTTCTGCCTGCCTGTCTGTTAGAGTTCAGGCTGTCCCCTGCATGTTCACTCCATCTCTCTCTATATTCTCATGCGACAATTTGGGCTTCCCACTGGCTCCCTCCATCGCTCTCTCTGTGAACCATCCTTCTCTTCAGCAGCCCACTCAAAGACTAATTCCACAAAGGAGAGAGAATGCGAGGATAGGCATTTCATAGCGTTTTCCAGTTATCTTCCGTCCGTATAGAGCTGCTCTGAATCGAACCAGGCTCCACCCCCACTCTCCAGCAGCCTACTCCATTGCCCCTCTGCTCATGGAAATATTTCCTTCATTTTCTTGCTTTATCCTCCTGCAATGATAACCCCAGACTCAAATACAATCTGAAGGATTAATTCTTAGAAGACATTCAACAGGTAAAGCCCAGTTTTCCCTGAAGGTTTAATGTATATATTTCACAGCTTGATTTGTAGAGCTGAATGAATTTCAATAAGCCTACACCGGTCAATATAACAAGTGTTGAGACTGACATCTTGCACAAATACCATACCATTTTTGTCCTGCATTCATCTCATGCTTTAATTAATCAGCACATTGATCATATCTTTATACATATTACTGTATTTCGGCTTCTTCTCTTTCTCTTCTTCTTATTAGAAGATATAAGGGATGATGGAAGACACTAATCCATGGATATTCAGGCAAGAGATAATGAGATCAAAATTTTTCCTGCAGAGTTTTCCACTGTAATTGAACCTTTTTATTTCCCTCTTTGGGTTTGATGTTTTGGGTAAGAACGCTTTTTTTGATAGTTATTTCCACAATGATACATTTTTATACCAATTTAAGACCCAAGTCCCCCATCTTTTTTATGTTTTACACTCAGTCACTGTGTGGTTGGATTTGGGTAACGAAGCTGCCTCTATTTAGGCACCACAAGTGCTCTGTTAGGTTTAGAGAAACATCAAAGTTTAGCTTAACCTCCTCAGTCTCTGAGCCCCTGATGCAGGGAAGTGGGAGGGGAGCATCCACTTCAACGGGATATGATGCTGCCTGTTGCATACAAATATATGCTTTATTCTGCAATCAAGATCATTTATACACTGTTATTTCCCTAAATAATTCTGAATAATGCCACAATGGAAGTTGTACTTTAAACAGAGTAATGATCCTAAGCAAAGAGGCTTAGATAATGGCCACTTCAAAGCTTAGATTTAAATCCCATTGACATATGGGGGGATTTGGAATGGACAGTGATGTACATGCGGGTAGACATAGGTTTCTTGTAAATTCAGGGAGTTGTACCTGAAAAAGGGAATACTGTTTCTAAACAGACTTTAGAAACAGCAAGACAGCCTTTTTTTTACATAGCTGATGGTACAATACACAGGCTAGCAGAGCAACGATTCTGTGTCGTCTGATTTTTGGGGTGAGGTAAAATGCTTTTATCAGTAAAGCAACAGAACACCTGTATTCTTCTTAATTTTCTTCTCCATTTCACACCCTTTGTTCTTCCCATCCTGACTGCCCTGTCCTTCTTTTCTCATTTATCCACTTAAATCCTCCATGCCTCTCATTCCCATTACCCTCCCTGCACACTCACAAAAAGAGACAAATACACATACATACACAGTACAGGGCTGGTAATGCAGGGTTAATACAATTGGAGAGCAGCTGATGGTTGTGCACACTCGGGCCAGATTACATTTAATTCGATTGAGTTTCGTTCACTAGGATCCCTCCAACTCCTCTTTCCATTTCTGCCCTTTTGCTCTTTGTTCCCTTCTGCTTTTGTTGAACTAGAGAAGGTCATGTCTTAAAAAAAATCCACATAGGTTTGAGCAGAGGGATTCAGGGTGAGTAGACATTTTATTTTATGCGTTACGTTGAATACGTGTGAGTGAAGATCCCTGGCCACTTGTCTGTCCTTCAGTTTTAAACACAATTCAGCCTTTTACAATGCCCTTTTTTCCTTGATTCAGACACAGAGACTGAGCACATGGAAAGAAGTGCTTATAATGAAAACATGATGATCACTCATGTCTCATCCCAGATCTTCATAATTGACCAGACAGGTATTTTAAAAAAGTCCTCATGCTGGTCTGCTGAGTACACGCCTGCTGAAAACAAAGGAATTGTCTGCTAAGCATGGCAGAGAGTATATCAAGTATTTGGTTCAAAAGACACATCACTCTAATGCCTTGTGACGACAGGCAACCCATCAACAGTACAAATCGCCTTTCAGCCAGGGAAAAACTCCAGATCCTCCACAACCCCAAATTAGATTCACCAGGTATATAAAATGCATGGATGGATGAAGATAAGTCTCAAGATAGTACCTGTAAATATTTTAGAGGGACACTGATTCAAAGGTAGATTAAAACAGACAGAAGAGGATAATATACACATGTGGCATGTAAGCTCTAGTTCTTGATCCAGGAGTTGGAGGCTGAAACCCCCCAAACAAAAACCTGACTGACTTGACTTGACTCCTATCATTTGGCAGATTTATAGATCTTCCAGTATAAAATAATCATAATACATTAGATTCATTTCAAAAATAGAAAATTCTGTATATGGCGTTCTCTGCTGACCATGTGGTACATTGGAAATCAAAATTTTTGCAGAGAAAAAAAATCTGAAACTGGGTATTTCGTAAGCTAGATTTAACGGTTGGAAATGGAAAAAGGTTTTCAACTTTTAAAGAAACTGTGGAGAGTCAAAAACAAGGACGATTTTGATGTGTTTTTTAGGGTATTGCCAGAATCAAAACACATTTTTACTTGTTAGGAAGATATGCTGCTTTTCCTTTCTTGTAACCAACAAGGCACCAGAGGCAAGCAATTATATCAAATATTGTAAAGCCGGCCTTCATTTCCATGCTCTCTGGATGGCACTCCTTAAAAAAGATTTTTTTTCAGCTCAACAGTTCAGTTCATCTCTGGGGAAATCCCTTCGAACAAGAAATAAAAGAAAATAAGTAGTAATAAATACAGGGAGGATCACAATACTGAGCTCAGTATAATAATGACTGTAAGGCACGATGCAGGTTTACGTTATGAGTGTGTGTTCCTATCCCACCCACTCTATATCCCTAAACCCGCACAGACCCCCCCCCCCCCACCTCCACCATGCACTGCTGTAACTCCACCCTGTTAGTAACAGCTCTGGCCTGGGCATTGCAGAGAAAAACACACGGACACATGCACACACCAAAATGCAGAAGAGGTAAAAGGGAAGAAAGGGGGGGGATTGGGAGATTGCAGGTGGGGGGGTGGGGGGGTGGGGGGGTCGTGTCAGATAAAATAGGCCAGGGAAGGAGGAAAGAGCAAGAAAAAAAGAAGTACATAGAAGTGCGGGGAAAACCACAAGGCACCAAGGACAAAGTGAGAGGGAGGGATGAGAGAGGGAGGTGTGAAGTGTCACTGCCAGTTGTGCCATCTCTCTAATTAACATAGTGACCTTGGTCCTTGGATACTGTTATTGTACACAACCACACACTCCCAGAGGACTGCTTTGTGTTTCCAAGAACAAGTAATGCCTTGGATTTTAGCAAGCAGCCCTTTTACACTGCTAAGTGTTATACGCTTGTTTGTTTTTACAAGGCCTCACATCAAATTCACACATACCCAAATGCATTCCCCGTCTTGTTTTTCGGCAAGCCCAGTCTGGAAGCAAGGGGGGGGGGGGGGGTTACAGAGAGAGCGGAATCATGTTAAATGACGTGCAAATAAAGGGGCATCAAAAAAATCGGCTTGAACAGAAGTATGCGCTTACGCAGAGGGAAAACGCGGCGGAGGCCGGGGCACAGGGAAACCTAACAGTGATTGAGCTGGCACCAGAGCAGAGTGCAGCTGTAGCAGTAATCATCTTCCAGGTCAACAGTAATTATCAAGAAGACTGAGGTGAGTGTGCAACAACAAACACACAAAAACACACACAAACACTGTTTTCTTTTTCCCTCTCATCTTTTCTTTCAGATTTTTTTCCCAGTTTTTTTTGTTGGGCAGCAAAAACACACACCTACCGGTACTACAAATAAGATTTCAGACACAGGCGGCAGGGTCTCATGGATGAAGGTTTGTCAAACTGAACACAGCTTCTTACACACCAGCGGCGCAATCTTGTTCAGCTCAGGTCTAATTAATTCACGGGTAAAGTCAGGAAGTTGCTCTAATCACGGTTAACTCTGAGGATGGCAGATGAATTTTCGGTCTGCTTCCACTGTGAGATAAACAGCCCTCAGTTTGGCCTCTCTTGCAGCACTTATCTGCACACCTCACATGACCTGTGACACAGTGGGGATGGTTTGTGTGTTTAATGTAGCCATCGTATCAGAACTCTCAGTCATATGTCCTGTACTTAGGTCCAGTTCTATGTCTCACCTGTAAAACAAAGGGCTCAACCTCCCTCTTTTTTCTACAACGTTCTCAATAACCTTTCATCTTTTCAGACAAAAGGCAGACATGTTTCCCATGCAACATTGAAATGCAAATCCGTTCAGTAAATAGCTAAACTTTCCTATTTTCCACGCCTGTTTTATCTCCTCTTCAAACCAATCTAAAAATCCTTCTCATTAATTAAATTCTCCTTTTTCAGCATCTCAAGTGACACATCTGTTTTGGCATCAACTTTCTTTTTCTGTATTTTCTTATAAATCTTTGAAGTGGAAAAATACAAATTTGATGAATATCTTTGGCTATCTCACAAGATACACTAAGATATACACATGATACACTTAATGTATGTAGGAAACATGAACAAATACCCATGTGCGACTTCTTTTTTCTCTTCTAAACTCTGTGGATTTTTCATTGCTCCCATTTCAGGAACCTTCTATTTAAAAAAGTGCATTCAATAGCACCTTACAAATCCACTATAAATTGTATTGTATGTGAAGTTGTAGATCATGAGAAATTAACCTTTTCCCTATTTTCCAGTTGTAGATTTTTGTTTTTTACAATATCCCATCCATTTCTATATAAGCGCATTAAATTATACACAAATATCTAAGGCATTTCTTTCTTCCTCACCTGCCAGAACATGCCAGACCTTTAGTACACAAAGACCAAGGAGTTTTCCCAGCTAGCAGAAGAATGTGGGAATTGTTTAAAAAACTGAATGTTGTGGTAATAAACTAGCTTCATAAAAATGATCATATTTTGTAATATTGAATAAACTGTTGCTCTTCCTGCTGTTTCTGTCTTTTCAGATGAATTTACCCCGGAAATGCTGAAAATGGCAGCAGGGTCAGGGTTATTATGTTGCAGATTTTTATCAAAATAGATTTAATCTATACACAGTGCTCCAAAAACACAATACAGAAGTGGTTTGTTGAGTGTTTTGTACATTTGTCAAAATGAAATATGTCCTCTTTATTCATCCAGACGGAAATTATTTCCTAAAGGAATTTTCACTATTTAACCTCAGTGACACTGACGAGCAAAATCCTCCCGCCTGATAAGACTAATTTTAACCAATTTGGCATTGAAACACAACATCACTCTGTGGGAAGATTGTTTTTTCTAGGAGAGAATCTGGGTGACTAATATGGGTAAGAGGGATCAGGGGACAAGAGGGAAGACCTTTTTTTAGAGTTTAAGGATTTCAGGCTGCAGCCAAAATCTACATTTCAACGAGACAAAGAAAACACAGAAGTGATTTAAGTGAAAGGTAACCCAACCTGAAAACAACTGTGCTCTCCTGTTTTTATCTAACCTGGCTCAGCTTCAGTATTTCTGCCAAGAAACTTCCAAAGGAAAGATGTGTCAAGCCAGCAGGACCATACCAGAGGGGACTCCTCTAAGAAATAATTCAGTTCTCTTAATGAGTCAACGACTACTAAAAAACATATTTTTGCTCTAATCTCTGCTGGGGTTGTTTCTGTGTGGATTTTAGGGTTAACTTTTCCCCATGTAACCCTCATAGGTCACTTTATTCTCAATATTAAACTTGACATTTCATTTGTACGGCATGTTCTTCAAACCTCTCTTCCCCCCAAAATGATCAATATTTGTCTTTCTTATTCATATCACCTCTCCGTCTACAAACTTAATTGTCATTTTTCTGTTCCTGTGCTGCAACGCTGCTGCTGTCCTTTGCCAAAAAACACACAGATTATAAAAATAAACAAGAGGCTTCTGTTCTAGCTAACATAATCTCAGAGTACACAGATAAAGAAAAATAGTCAAATTAAAATCAAAACTTCGGTATAGACCATTTAAGATCCTCATCTTCTGTTCGATGCTCAAGGTGAAAATGCTGTTAGTGTTTTAGAGGCTATATTACTCGTAGAACACTAATCTGTAGAGTTAGATGCAACTTCAGCAGCCTCGCATAATTAGTTCATGACACAGTAAAAAGTATGTGACTCCTTGCCCCCATTCCATCTCTTAGGACAGCACAATCTCTGGAGATCTCAGCGTTCTTCATCAGTAATAGCAGCTACTAATGCCCTCCCCGCCAAGCTGTTAGGAACAAAATAAGGGATGGAGGCCTAATGAAAAGAGTTTTTAATAAAGGAGCAAGGCAAAGGTGGCTCAGAGGTTTGCTTCTGTTTAAGACAATGGGATACTCCCGGTGCCTGAAGCCTGGCCCATTTTTAATTGCACTCCTCTCTCATTTATAAAAGGAAGATTCAGCTTTAATGAATCTCGAAACAAGGCTGGCTATACAGCACTGTTCTGTCTTTATCTCACAGGCATGTAGAAGGATAATGTGATTGTTTTAGTTCTGCCCACTTGTTTAGGCAAAGCTTTGTTGTCCACAATTTCTCGCTGCTCACACACACGAACGCACAAACACACGCACACACAAGAGCTTTCTCTAAAGCTGCTTTAACCGTGGACAAAAGGCCCATTAACACACACCATCGGCTGGATTTTTACTTCAGTGGATACCATGCAATCAGGACGGCATTGAGAGTTTGGCACATCTGTTTGTAACTTTTGGGACTTTTTCTATATCAGATACAAAATCTATGCAAATTCAGCCACTCCATCCTAAAAGAGATTGAGGACATACATGCAAAAAGCATTTTTGCATGTATTTCCTCATTTTAACAGTGTGACAGTTGAACAAACTTGGGGGCAAACCGTAAACAAGTTAATCATTTTTTTTCCAATTGCTGAAGTCAGACTGTGAAACGTCTACGAGAGGAGAAAAACCCATTTGTGTACAATTCTGTTTCTGTAAAAACTGGCTTGTTACCAGTGTTAATGTATTGACCCCCCAAAAAAAAAAGTTTTTATACCAATCAACACGAGTAAGTGTGCAGGCACCCACAAAATGCAAACTGATGGATCAGTTTGTATATGACAGTGATAAACAAAATATCTCAGCAATTCATCATCAATAAATATAGAATATCATTGCACCTTTTTGATCAAAGCTTTACTCATCAGTGTAATGGATTTAGACTATTTTCTTTAGTAAAAACAACCACGAATAAAGTTTTCCTCAGAATCCATAAGCATGGGCTTTCTTCAGGATATACTACACAATCGCCTGAACAGCAGTAAACAGTAAAACACATCAGAGAGAGAAAGGTGGCATGAAGCTTACCTTGGCCATCTGTGCCTGGACTCCACTAGCTTTGAGCGAGGCCACAGCCTTCTGAGCTGCTGCAGGGCTGTCAAAGTCCACAAAACCATAGCCTGCACGCAGACACACAACAGGAGAACAATTATGCCAAAGAAGACAAGGAAGACAAGAGACTAAAAAGTATGCCAGAAAGCATCATGATCAGGTAATGTTCTTCATATTGTTTAGCAAGTGCAGTGCTAATTTCCATCAGAAATCTGACCCGTTGTTTTGTTTTCAATGCTGCATAAATCTAATAAATGTGTCAAAATCAAGTCAGGTCACACATTTCAAGAAAGCTGCCATTTCCTCCATTAAATGTATTTTAGCACAGATCATTAAATGCAATTGGTGTAATAACAGTGACTCAGTGATACAAGTTCTCCATGTTCTATGATTTGTAATGAATTCAGTGTCTTTAACTCCATTTAATGACGGTCCTGCAACAAAAATGATACACATGCTCTCCACATATAGTGGTGTGAAAAAGTGTTTGCCCCCTTCCACATTTCCTGTTCTTTTGCATGTTTGTCACACTTAAGTGTTTTGGAACATACTGATAGATCTCAATTACTTTCTTTCCTCAATGGTTCCTGAATTTCTTTGGCTCTCGGCATGATGTGTAGCTCTTAAGGATCTTCTGGTGGACCTTACTGTGTCAAGCAGCTCCTATTTAAGTGATAAGTCTTGATTGTGAACAGGTGTGGCAATAATCAGGCCTGGGTGTGGCTAGACTAATTGAACTCAGGTGTGCACAACCACAGTTATAGTGTGTTTTAACAAGGGGGCAATCTCTTTTTCACACAGGGCCATGATGATTTGGACTTCTTTTCACCTTTAATAATAAACACCTTAATTTACAAATTGCATTTTGTGTTGTCCTTGACTATTGTTTAAATTGGTTTGATGTTCCGAAACACTTAAGTGTGACAAACATGCAAAGGAACAGGAAATGAGGAAGGGGGCAAACACTTTTTCACACCACTGTATGCTCTATGTATGTGACACAGAGCATAATAACCTTCTTTATAATGTTATTTGTTGTGCCTTCATGATTTTCAAACCTTACTGTGTGGTGTGTGAGGCAATTTGTGTCCTCCACGACTTTAAAGTTCTCTGTAAATAAAATCTGTCAGTGGTATTACTAAACCCTCACAGCCTCTGAAGTATTCACATCAAGAAAAAAAAAATCTTTAAATGCAACTGTTCAATTTCAAGAGTCTCGTTCAAAGGGATAAAGGCACAAAGGGAACAAGTTTCATTTGATTTTATGCAATAAAGTCGGCATTCATTTGTCTGTCTGTGTGGGCAATGTCTCCATTAGACTGCTGAAACTCTTGGGATCTGGGTTGGGCCCTACAGGAAGAACTGGAGAACAAAAGGTCTGAGCATGCACAAATTCATTTCGACCTTAAAAAAAAAAACTTTAAAAAAAACTGAATGTCCTGTAACACTGCGTCACATGGGTGGAGAAGAAAAGATATGTCAAAAGGGAAAAAAGACAGACTGCAGTTTGTCTTACAGGCTGCATTAAAGCGTGCGTCATGTATAAACAAAAGCAAGAAGTGTGCTGTTCTGAATATATGCATCATATTAAAGAAAGTAACAAAACACACATGTAAGAGGGAGGCTTTGACACTGGGTTTCATCATATGATCATATGATCCACATTATTTCAGGAGCCTCACTGGACAGTCTTTAGTGTTAACCTGTTCAAAATGTGGCGATTTATATCTCACACAGACAACAGCATACGTGCCACAACCTTTACTTGTCTGTTTATACAGAGCAAAAAGCTCTTTTTTCCAGAAGAACTTCCTTTTATTGTTGAAAGACAGCAAGTTACTTCCATAGTGAGATCTGCCCTGCACTGACAAACATTTATGTCCCTGCCAATGAGAAGAACATAATTTAATCCAAAATAACGTTGCACAAACACAAGTTGTTGCTCCAGTATGTACATGTATAATGTCCCCGCATTTGTCACTGTGACAAGCACAGATTTCGACAAGCACTGATAAACAGATATGCCCAGAAAACAGTTCCCCAAGTATATGCAAGCATTCACAAATGCCCATCCCACACACAAGCATTCAGTGCATTTATGTATTTATCTAATCAGAGCAGCACAGTGCCAATCCTTGAGAATGCAAATAAAGGATCAATCAATAGCAGATGCTCATATGTTATACCTATACATTCTCTGTAACGCAGATCTCACAGTGATGTCTATGAAAAAACACACATGTGCACACAGTTCCCACAGCTCAATAAAATTGCAGATTTGATGAGATGAAAAATAAACCCCAAAAAACACCACATATTCACAAATTAAAGTCAAAGTGTTTACAACAAATACTATAACATGGTTTTCTAACCGTTTAAAAAAAAAAAAAAACATTGTTTCAACTGTGGTGAAATGAAGCCTTCTTGTGTACCACATTTCACCTTCCAGTCCAATATGACATTAGAGGGGTACCTTCGCTCCATGCAATTTCATTTCTATTTTAACCTACAGCTGAGCAAATAAATTAATTTATTAGCAAATTTGGGTGACATATAATTTTCAGTTGCCTAAGAAAGACAAATAGAGGTCAGACATTCAGACCAGATATCAAGCAGGAGAAATCTGTTGGTGAATTATAACACTTACGTAGAAGATTATGCTCAAATTGTCAACATATCTTGTTATCAGTAACACTGATGCTTTTCTATCATAAGATTTTTTTCACGTCATGTTAAAAATTGGGGTAGAAGAAGTCCTAATAATAATGATTCATTACAGGTCAATGGGTTCATTTTCATTGAAAATATTTAGAAATCACATATGATACCTACGGGACCTTTGGAAAGCAAAAAGAAATAATGACCAGCAAAAATGGCAACAACATGAGGAAGAGACTCTGCAGGGTGATATCTGGCACCAGGTGTGATCTTCTGATGACATGAGTTTACAGACATAAAACTATAGGATTGAGATTTAATGTGCAGTGAAACCAAGGGTCACTTCTGGTGGCACCTCTGTTTACGGTGATAAACCAATCAAATGTGTCCTCTGTACCAGCGTAACCAAAACTGAAACCATGTTCTGGGTCCCTGTACAGGCTCACTGAATGAAATATTGAGTCACTGTAGATGCTGACATGTAATTTAGCTTAACCCTGCACCTAGTTAGTCTAAAGACATCTGTTTATTTTGCCCCTCTTGACCGAGCGTTGGGTCAGCTGCAGCAACATGAATTCTATCGATTTATCCATATCATTCATCCTTCTTTGGGCATGGATGATAAGGTTGCTTTTTTCCAGTCTTGCTGTTAGGTTGGGTGGGACAAATAAACAGGTCTGCTGAGTATGAGCCGTTTGTTTTGAGGCCTCTGACTACAGGATGCCCATTTTCTGAAAGTGTGTTTGTCCTTATCCTCGCATGGGGACAAAGGTCAAGTATCATTCTCAGAGAAGAGTCCAGGAGCTGGAAGAAAATAACTGTCTCACTCAAGGACATTTAAGGATGCTGCTGGAGTTAGGGAGGAGATGCCTGCCTGACTCACCCACCGACGGCCTTCAGTGACGCACGCTTCGGCCGGACTTGTAATTTCTACATTTAAAAAATAAGCTGCACAGCAACCTCTATGCTTCCTGAATCAGGGAAAACTCTCATCTTGTGAAAATACAAATGACAGCTTCTCTGAGCATACACTGAACAAAAAAAATGATGAAAATGATTTTCCTCATTTCTATCATTTCACATTTGCTAATTCTTCACTCCATCTGTGGCCTCAGGACCATGCAGATTCAATTGTGTCTTGCTCAGTGAAGCCTGACAAACATTCCACTCATGTTTGAAAGAAATGTATATAATAAAGCACATATGTAAACAAAGACACAGTTGGATGCACAGATAAACATGAGGATTCACACACACACACATACACACACTCACATTAATGCACACATACACAACACTCCATCCAATCTCCTGAGCTCCCTGAGTTCCTGGCCTTGGGCCATTAGAATAGGATAACGGAGCACAGAAGGCAGGGGACAGGCCAAGAGGGGAGGGATATATGCAGGGGAGGGCAGGGCCCATAAAGAGGGAGGGTGCTGGTCTTTGGGAAATGGAAATCCTTTACAATCTAAAGTGGTTTCCTCTCCTTCCCTCATCCTGTGTTCCGTGCCCTCTCAAAGCTCCCACAGAGCTAACTAGAAAACTGTCAGCTTGAGCACGCTGTAAATGAGGAACTTCACCAAAAAAAACCCGTTCAAACCTTTTGAATATTTTAGAAAGAAAATATTTCATGTTTGTTTAATTAAATCAGAGTCTAAAAGTAATTAATTTCCTTTATTTGCACTGTGAACACCATTAACGCGTTTACACTGTTCCAATGAGATGCCCACATTTTTCAGGGACAATGATGAAGTGCAAACAGTGCTAAAATCAAAAAGTTCTCACGTGGCAAGGAAGTCCACAAACAAATGAACCATTAACTTGCTTTATTTATTTACTTCCCAGAGTTTACGCTTCGCACTGCGCTAACTTCTTTTTCCTCTGACAATTCCTCCTAAAAGAAAAAAAAGAGGAAGCTGTCTGCTAAATCATCAGTTTCTAAGGGTTCTCTTCCTTTTCTGTCAGCCCCAGGTTATTTTTACCCCCTCCCTCCACCTCGCTGTGCATCCGCCCATCCATCCCTCCCTTTCCAAGAGAACTCCCTGTGCCAATTTGTACTCTCTTAGTCACGCTAAGCACTTATCTTGTCCCCACTGAACGCCTTTGCAATCAAACCAACACTTATCCGGTTGTACGGCACTCTAATGGTCGCCTGATAATGAAACTCCTTCAATGTGAGTTTACAACTAACTGAGAGATGTATGACGACTACACCACGGGAAGTGAAATTGCTGATGAGGGTTACAGCCTGTAAAGGTTGCCTTTGGTGTTAATGCTGCTTCTATTGAATTTTGAGTAATCTTTACTTACAACTATGCTTTAAATGTCCAGCTGGGGGTACATGGGTTTAAAGACATACTACATATATAATATATCTGTAATATAATGCATTTTTATGGAGATTTTTAAATACTAGTGCTACTACTAGGTTTTTACTAGGTTTTTGATTTTATACTTTGGGAAGCAAAAGCATGGCTGTCTGAACTCATACTTATACTTATCATATTCATTTATACTTATGTCTGACCTATTTAATTGTTCTATTTATTTTACAACCAATTTAAATCATTTTTAACTCAAGATTAAACATAACTATAGTTTTATGGAGAGGAAAGAGATTCTTACCTCCTTGATACACACACCTCAGGCTATTCTTCTGCTGTACAACGTATCGTATCGTATGAATGAATGAATTAATTGTCTAAACGTGTCAACTTATCCACAAAATCTGACTAACATGCTTAAACTAGCCAGTCATTTCATTTCTTGATGTCAACAAGACTGAGCCTGAGACTGTTTTGGGTCAGCTGCAGCAACATGAATTCTATCGATTTATCGATATCCTTCATACTTCTGTGGGCGTGGATGATAAGTTGGCTTTTGTCTAATCTTGCTGATGGGTTGGGAGGGACAAAGCATGAGCTCTGCTGCTTGAACTAGACAAACTAGTCATTTCATTTATTGATGTCAACAATATTCTAGGAAAATGTGGATATAGTAAACGATAGCTCAGTTCCATCAGGAAATGTAAAATATATGCATTTCTTTCCATTTCCATAATGTAATAATATGACAACCCCCAAGTGTAACCAGGGAAGTGTTAATGTTCCTTCACAGAAGTTGGAAGGCATGAATATTGTGTATATAGTATACATCAGACATAGTGCATAAACTCTGGCCATACAAGTTTGTCTAACTTTTGAAACTTGGATGAAAATATAGTTTTATAAAGGCCTGCAGATAGGCATTTGACACTTCTCATTTCCCCTTCTTATTAACATTGTCAGACAAATAAACAATGCTGAAACATTGAAAATTGGGCATCGCATTGCATAGATGTAGGTTGACAGGCTGACAAACCCGAAATTAAAAGTGTATGTAGAAAATTTGGTGCCACATTTTATTATGAGACTGGGTTGAGCAGAACTACATGGTACTAAATAAACATAAACTCTCATGCCCATGTCCCTGTTAATTAGCACGTTAATTAGCCCAGAGCCTTTTCCCCTTTTCTAACCTAAAGAGTTTCATACCTGTTCTGAGAAGCATGCAGTTATACAGTTACTTCTTCAGATACCCTACATCTGTTAAGCTTCATTATTACACATTATCATGCTTTTTTTTTTAGAAATAATTTGTTCCACCCCATTTCAAAGTCCCCCTGTACTTCCTGGCCTGTGCCTGGGTCTTTTCCAACCTCAAAGTGAATAATATCCCCCTCAACTGGCCCTAAATCCTTCAAAACCATGGCCTTTTCATTGAATTTTTTAGATACCACAGACCCTATCCTATTAATTTAAATTAAGCGAAAATTATTTTGTTTTTGTCAAGTTGTGAGTAACCAGATCCAAATATGCAAAGATGTAAGTAATATTATAAGGAAACCTTAATTGGCAAACACAAAAATATTGAGGGTAAGCAACAATGCTGTATTTTTTAAATCCAGCATAAACAAAAAACACAGAGAAAAATAAGAAGATAGAAGAAAAACAGATAAGAAATGTATAGCTTTTTCTGTCTTTTCTTTTAGCTATGCTGTAAAGATGTCAGAAAAGGCATTATACCATGCCTTCAAAGCTCAAAGCCAGATTTGATTACTATGGTGCGGCAGGTCCTGAAGTGATGGAACTGCTACGATTTCAATAAGTAGCAATTTACAAAGATCTAAGATAATATTTGAAGAAAAACCATTTCCAGGAAGGGCTTCAATAAGATTCAGTTTTCTCATTATAAAGTTGAGACAATCAGGGGTGGGATCATTTCCTAAAAATATTTTATCTTAGGTAATCAGAGCAGAGGAGCTGCAAGTGGAAGAAATCTCATTTGCATTGCAGCCATCAGAACCAATCAGGCTGGGGTTTCCTCCACTCATACTGCTGAAAACACAGATTATGATTACAGGACATCTGTGTTGCTGTCTTTAAACCCTGTTGGCATACCTTTGAGCACAGCACCGGCAGATGAGCAGTAATCATGCTGAACACATGCTCTTGTGTGCCTCTTCAGAAGCAGATGACAACAATCACATTGATTAGTGCTTTGTTCAGACCACTCCAACAATCAAGGGGGAGCCTTTTCAAAAAAACCACTTGAGTGAGTCTCGTCCACAGCCGTGACTCTTCAAAACACACTGTGACTATTTCATTGTTCAGTCTGATTTGGCCTGCAACAACAAAGCCTTCGTGTCGCTGTCAAAAGCTGCTTAACTCTTAGTATCATTGGGGCGCACTCCTGAAATCACAATCACAGAGTCGTTAATCAAAAATAAAGATAGCCTTGTAGAGCATCGTTTAGATGGATTAAAGGATGACATGGATTTTATGGCCATCAGCTGTACACTGCCGGAAAAAAACACCCTTCCCACATTGCTTAATGCACCACTCTAAAGCAAACAGATGGACTTGATTGTTGTGTCACAATGCTGCCATTTTTGTAAGAAAGAACAACTTTTTTTGATTGATCAGGGATGCATACAAGTACAAAAAGGAAAGGATCTTTAATAATAAAAAACACTCCAGTATGTGCACGCAGATTATTTTGCCTTCAAGTTGCAAGAGTAAATCCATTTTAACTGATGTTTTCCAGACCCATATCCAATATCAGCATCTGGGTCTGTGAGATGGCTTTGCATTGGCTGAGGAGGACCATACTGGATACATAGAAAACTGATGCCCACTCACCTTTACACTGATTAGTGTTTTTGTCCAAGATGGCCTTTGTTGAGACAATCTTGCCGTATCTGTAAAAACAAGCCAAAAAGAAAAATGATGAAACATTCTGATCAGCCTTTCATTCTTATTAACATCTAGAACAACATTGGCAGTCGGTCAGGTGGGTGGTCTTTAGCTCAGTTTGTCTGTAGGGTAAGGGTGTTGGTCTGTCTGATGGTCAGGCACCCCTTTGTTCCAGACTTAAATAATGAAACAACAGTGGATTTACTTAAAGGTTTGTCTAGATATTCATTCATAGAAATATCTCAAGAGAGTCCTAAAATGTCAATTCAATTGGTAATTTTGTGGACAGAAAAACAATTGATCCATGGTGCAAACTCAGAAGAGTAAACAGAAATATTGGGAACCAAGACTTCCCTGCCAACTTCCTGGCTGGAAAGATTCCACATCCTTTACTTATCGAGTTTTAGGCATCATTGTCTACTTAAAACGTTTCTTTAAAAAAGAAAGATTTACGTTTAGGCATTTTAGGAAAGCTTAGCTATGGTTTATGTATGTTTAATATATGCTTATGCTAACACTTGAAAAGCGGAATCATATAAAATGTTACTCTAAACACTGGATTGCTTTGCTAGAAAATATCGGCAATCCAGATGAAATGTTATTCAGTATTGTAAGGTGTGATCTCTACGGAAATGAATGAGAAACAGGCATTCAAAACATTTGGATGCGGGTCCTGCAGCACTGGGAAAAGTAGAATTAAACCTTTGATTTCTTTGGAGTAATCTCATCTCTCAGGTGGGGAATATCACTCTGGGATAGATTGTTCTGCAAGCCCTGCTAGAAATGTACTCATTCATCACAATGGTTCCACGGTATTACCAACATCTAATATAACGCACATGCATCCACCAAAGGATGAAATTTATTTCACATATTCATGCAAGATGGATTAATAAAATTAGCTAAATTGATTTAATTAATTTACACATCAAAACGAATTGTGAGTAATCCTCACTTGATTTGACCAATGTTGCGCCATCATTATGTAACCATTTAAATTCCTGTAATACATTGATATCTGTAAAATAAAATGAAATTTCAGAAAAAGTCCCTGAGCCCAGGTTTCTGTTTGAAGCCAATTACAAAATATTACCATGCTAAAATAATGCAGTGATGTAATAAATTTGATATCAGCTTAACATAACAACATCGGTGCTGAGAGTACCACAGGTTCTTTGGTTCTATTTATCCATTCTATTCTTACCCATTTCAAAATACTCCCATGGCCTCAGAATACAAACTGTATGCCCTCATAAATAATGATAATAACCAGACATTTATATTGTATCCTGACCTGCTAGAGGGGCCAACGAGAGAGATAGACAACCGCTTTACCTCTTTTTGTCTGTTCCCTTTGCCAACTTTTAATGTCTTCTGCCTGTTTCGCTACCTCACTCTTTGTTTGACACCCCCGGCTCTCCCTTTGTCTCCTTCCCTTATTTTCCCCTTCATCCTACTCCTATTCTCCAGCTCTCTGTTCTCAGGCTCTCAGAAAGAAGTTAATAATGTTTCTTATCGGATGAGCCATTCAGCGCTCCTGGAAAGAGGGGGAAAGAGGCAGAAAAAAAGAAAAAGAAAAACCTAGACCAAGGTTGAGAACATATGAGGAGAGAGGATAACAGAAACAGACAGGTGGAATGAATCGGGAAAATACTGAGACAGAATGCCTGGATTGCTGAGATCAGCCTGGATCACTGTCTGGCTTTATGGATGAGATCTTTTTATTCATGTGTTCACACATCTGCACAATGGCTGACTTGCTGGCTGTCTGGCTGAGATTGTCAAACAGATTGACAGACTGACAAGCTGGTTGACTGACTGATGGCTTTAGGTGAGAGATTGAGGTATATTCCCTCTTGTCTTTAAGATATAAAAAAAAACTGGAGACAACAATGGGGCAGACAGAAAGGATTAAATAAGAATACAACACAGGAGTTTTGAAGCAAAGGGGGGGGGCATGGAAAGGGAGGGAAAGACAGAGGGATGAGAAGTGGAGGAGTAGAGGGAGGGCAGTCATTCAAAAGATAAAAGGAGACACTGAAGGCAAGGAGGAAGTGCAGTAGTCAGGGAGAGATGGAGAGATAGTAAGGGGTGTTTAATAAAGAAGAGATCATTTAGTTGTCACCACCAAGAGAGTCTCCATCAGACAACTGCTTCTGTCGGGGAGATGAAGAATTTAGACAGGCTCACCTGACAGCCTAACATCAAACTCTATTGGAACAATAGATTTGAGGAATGATGGCAGAAAAGAGGCTTTAAGCTGTTATCCCACATAAAATGACAGATGAGTAGTTTATGATTCAAAATAGGCAGGGGGGAGGGGGGGGTCGGATCAAACTTCAAACATCAGTACAATGCTTGTTTTTTACCATCTTGAAGTGTGAGATGTTTCGGGACATTGTTCACCAACACAATAACTAGTCAGAAACACACACATGTATATGTAAATTAACCATTCAAACAAACACCGACCCAGTTGTGAAACACACACCAGCTGGTGGAGTGATCAAGACCAGATTTTTGCCTTAGTCTGACTCAAACTTGGGTTTGTGTGTATCACAGTTAGGAGTGCAAACACCTGTGGTATAAGTGTGAGTGCGTGCGACTGAACACAAGTGAGCCAAAAATTACATGTGCATAGGCGATTGTTTGCAACCTAATGTGTATATATGTGTGTGTGTGTGTGTGTGTGTGTGTACATGTGTAAATCCTCTGCATTGACAGCTTGCACCATGAGTTTTTTGGCAGGTGGTTCATCCCAACACAAAGTGAGACTATTTGTTCATTGTCTCTAGTTCAAGTGAGAAAGAAAACAGAGACAATTAATGACAGGAAGGACACAATATACGTCTTAAAACAACACAATTTACACCGACCATTGTACAAATTACAATTGCCTTTTAATAGGCTTTTGTGTGTGTCAGGACTCAAAAGGCTAAATCATAACCAGGTTGGTGTGTGCCAAGGTTAAATATCATTCCAAATTTTTTTAAACTCCACAATTTAGCTAATTCCAACACAGGAGAAGATAAATGTCAAATCATAACAACTCTGCACCGTCCAATATGGTGTTTCATTTTGAACATTCTCAACAACTATAACAATTGGCTATTGTGAAAAGGAAAAATATTGAAGTATTGACAATAGATCAGATGATGAAGTCAGGAGGCTAAAGGGAGCGTGAAATGGGAGGAGGGGAGAGGCCAGAGCAGAACGTCCTGTTCTGAACCCAACTGGAACCTATTCCGTGAATCCAGCAGATGCCTGGACAGGGTTGAAAAAACATCAACCTGCGCTTCACCTAAGAGAAGTGACATTTGAGACACTCATAAAAACTACTGGAATACTTCGAACATACCAACAAAAGTACAACAGGGAGCCAGATGGTAAAGGTCTTATTCCATTACTTTCCATTGTATCAATCAGTCTGAGACCAATCTGCTTTTATTACCTACAATCGCCATATACACAGCTGTATTTTTTTATTTAATCTACTTGCATTTTACTGATGTTGTCCATTCAGTCTTCCAGAAGGGCCTTCTGATCAACACATTAACTGGGTAACGTGTGGTTAACTGTGGAAGATGATTTCTTTCAAAACATCTCTTTTTTCTTGGGCTTTTTCATGCTAATCATTTTAGGATAGATATCTAGCCTTTTCATCCTCCTTAAGTTGTTCAAAATTATTTTAGAAATCAATGCCAAAGTGGAAGTCTGAATTCTTTCTGTGCGATACAATAAAAACTGACTTCAAAACGGACTGTTTCTTCTCGACTGCTGAGATTTAAGGGGGAATGTTATTGCAAAAAAAAAAAAATCGCACTGCGTTTGGACGGGTTTGACAACATCTGCATGAGTCTTGGCTGCTTCTGAGTGTTAATGACAGTCCTCAGAAGGCCCTCACGGCTTCAGATCAGTATTTTTCACTCCCTTGTGGAAAGACAGCCTATGGATGCTCGCTGTTTGATGTCCTCCTAATCAGAGTTCTCCCAAACACACTCACATGTTCTAACACTGACAAAAAAACCCACCAGCACTGATGCAACAACTATAGATGTCTGTGAATGCATCTATATGTTTAGTATGCATGAAAATCCTCTACGTTTGTAAATTGTTTGTGTTCTGTCCTTGGCTGGTATGCTTACTAGTGTGCATCAGGACCCACACAGGTTGGTCTCTGTGTGTGGTAGCTCCTAATTGGGGATCCGATACAGCTGTCTTGTCTCTTACATTTCCCTCATTTTTCTGCCTCTCTGGCAGTTAGACTCGATCAGGCAAACACAGAGGGGGGGTGGAGAAGCTATACTGCCTCAGAAATCTTTGAATTAATTCCCCGTATGTAGTTTAACTTCTTCGGGAGCCATAATGAAATGAAACCTTGGACTTTTTCCCAGATGAAAAGGCAATGTACTGTAAAAGACAGCGCAATATTTTTTGGAACATTAAGTTTAGCCTACAAAAAAGGCTTTCCATGAAGTTTGAATCATAAACTAAAAGAAAAGCTGGTTATCTTGTGCATTTAGGATCTGGGATTACAGCCACATACTATTCTGTGGTGATCATGAGGTAAACATAAACAAGCTTAAACACACAAACAGAAAAGCAGAGATATTTTCTGAGAGCGGCTAAATAAATGACCTGAGATGTTTTCTTTGGAAAGGTGTGTGGTTTCTCAAAGCCTTTGATCATATGACAAGCACTCGTGGTGAAACAGCTGGCAATGTCCTCATTTGCTAGAGTTCATGCAAGAGAAGGTTAAACTGAACAAAATGTGCAAAAAAGTGCATGACAGTCATCCAAAGGACCTTGTTCCCAGCAGACTTTCTCTGTCTCTCAAAGCTGAACAAGCTCAGTTGAGTAAGTTCTTAAACAATGGCTGATATACACTAAATAAGTATGACAAAGAGCCAGGCTATATTGAACAGGGACTCTACTACATCTCACTTCATCTCAAAAGAATGCAGATATTTTAAATGTTATCACTTTCCACTTGCTGGGCAAAATG